TCAGCTCACTGCAAGCTCCGCCTCCCGGGTTCACGCCATTCTCCTGCCTCAGCCTCCCGAGTAGCTGGGACTAGAGATCTGATGGTTTTATAAGGGACTTCCCCCCTTCACTTTGGCACTCATTCTTCTGCCACCCTGTGAAGAGGTGTCTTCTGCCATGATTGTAAGTTTCCTGAGGCCTCCCCAGCCATGCAGAACTGTGAGTCAATTAAACCTCTTTCCTTTATAAATCACCCAGTCTCAGGTATTTCCTCATAGCAGTGTGAGAATGGACTAATACAAGGTCTAAACAGAGACACAGATTTTATGGGTGGGAGATTTTATGGGTGGGATCCAGCCTCCAGAGGAATGGGTAAACTTGCTTAAAAATACTGTGCAAATAAAAAGAGGACAAAGGAAGGTGTCATAAGGAACAATATATTATGGGAAGCAGAGGCAGAGTCTTTAAAGCAGCAGACTAAGAAATGGGTGTCTGAAAAGTATGAGAGCTAGGAACAAGTGGTGTCAAGTCAAAGAAGCCAGGAGATGCAGGGTGCGGTGGCTTATGCCTGTAATCCTAGCTACTCAGGAGGTGAGGCAAGAGCATTACTTGAGCCCGGAAGGTCGAAGCTACAGTGATCTTTATCTTTATAAATATATAAATTTCAAAGTTTATATCTTTACACACCACTTCACTCCAGCCTGGGTGACACAAATCCTCTTTCTTAAAAATAAATACATACATACATAAAAATAAAATGCTAGGGAAGCTGCATGGAATGCTTCAGAGGTAAAGGGAGATAAGGACTAAAAAGGCCTAATCTCCTTCTTCTATGACCCTCTGGGTCGTAAAAATGAAGGCTCACATTTTAAAAGTTGAAGTATAGGAAAGAAGGGAAGAACCACCTAACTTCGGGGACAGGGCACAAAAATGACAATAGATTCAGGAGGAAATCGTGGGTAACACGCCCAACAGGTGGCGCCAAATACTTCAGTGGCAGTCTCCGAGAGCCTCAGAACCCCTGCCCCTTCCGCAAGCCTCACTGGAGGGAGCTCCATGCAAATCTGCCAGTCAGCCAGGTGGCACTCCTTTAGTCAACAAAATATCAAGCTTCCACTATTGGAAAGCTCTGTGCTAGATACTCTGAGAGGTGTATGTCTGCAAGTGCCCGTGTGCTCTGCTGTTCCTTTAATGTGTGGAGACAAGAACATTTTGAGAATAAGTCCCATCTATTTTATCTCCCACATAGCTCTCAAATCTACCTACATTTCTTCATCTACATTGCTGCCTCTCTCTTCTACACCACTATTCTCACTTGCTGGGATTAACTGCTGCAATTACTTTCTAAACTATCCACTCTCAACACCCCACCAACCCTAACATGATTATCCCTAGTGCAATTTCCTTAAAGCGTGTCTATCTCCTAGCTCCCTACTGGCCCACAGCACTGGAAGTCTAGTGCAGTAGTTATAAATGTGGACCCTGAAGCCAGATCGCCTAGTATCAAAACCCACCTCCAGCACTGACAATGTGGTGATACTGGGTAAATTGATTAATCTCTCTGTGCCTCATTTCTTCATCTGTTAAACGCAGACAAGATGTACCTCACAGGATTATAGTGAGGACCAAGTGAGTTTACAGGGTTTTTATTTAGCACGGTACATGGGACACACTAAGTGCTCAACGTTAGCTATTAGTGTTTTGAGATGTAAATTCAAGTCCTTATCGCAGGTGAAATGCTCTCCTTGATTTAGCTTCCCTGCTTTCCGGCCTTATCTGGAAGCACTCACCACCTTCATCCCTGCTGCTTCAGCATCACCTAGTTACCTTCTCAGTTGCTGTTTCTTCTGCTGGCAATGTTCACTACACCCATCCACCCCTTACAAACAGGAAGGAACTCATCCTTCTGAGATATCTGAATAGCTCTCACATTCTCAGAAAAGAGAACCCTCTTTTCGGAATTCTTGCTAGATCTCTGCACGTTGTCCTGTTAGAATTACCTACTTTTGCTAAAAATCGTGTGACTAGTTGTCTAATGCTGCCCCTTTCCCTGAACCTAGAATATAAATTCTGAGAGCAAGAAGCTGTTGTCTCATTTGGTGCTGGAAACCAACTAGTAGGATTTTGTGAGGATCTTTAGGGTGATGACCCAGGAAAAAATGAAATCATGGTGACAACACATTAGTCCCATGCTATCATTCCCACATCTCCTTCCCAGCTCTCTATTACAGCCACTCTCTAATTGCTCAGGAAAATCTTCTTCCAGTCTTGCACCAAGCCCCAGAGTAACACCAGTCAGCTCGGTCCTTGTCCTGGGAGTCCCTCATGCTGGTCACTCATGGAAGCAGGGCCTTCCAATCAAGGTAGTCCTGAGTGAACTTAAGAGCAGGAGTTTGGGTAAGGTTCCAGGCAGGCTGGAACTGGGGTCCACATATGGGTGCACAGTAAGGATAGTCTGTGAAGACCAAGTCATGCCTGTATCTTGGATTCAACCAGTATAATCACATCATGATGGTTAATAATCGCACTCTATTTGTGCTAAGCAAACTCCATGATAAGACCTTATCTTTACCTTATACCCTCTGGCTTGGCAATGCCCAGGTCTATGGGCCTAAGTTTGCTGAAAAGGCAATCAAGGGAACTCAATGTGTGACTGAATAAAACCAACTCTCACCTTCCCCCACATCCCAACAAAACGCTTCCTATGGATGTAATAAAAGGGAGTAAATGGCAGCATGAGGGGAGAGAGAAAAAGCAGCAGCAATAGAACCTATGATTCCAGTTGCGGAGAGGAGCATAGGGGGAAATCATGCCCACAGGACTCCACAACTAGTTCTTTTGAGTTGTGCTGGAGACTGCTATTTTGGAATGAAGTCCTTTGGCAACCAAGATGGAACTCAACCAAAGTCCTAAAACAATTACAATCCCTAAGTGAGACAGGCTTGAAATAAGTTCAAACTAGTAAGTCAATCAAAAGAGACTAGTCCAATTGGTTTAAGGCAGGTGTGAAGCCCGTGTCAGCCAGGTCGGCAGTCAAGCAGATGAGCCAGGCCTTCTCCCTCTTTAAAGCACTTAGGGTGGTCTGGGTTCAACTTATAGGGAATTAAGTACTAACGGGCCTCCAATGTCAGATTGAAACTTTTATTTTTCCCAACTACAGAATACAAACCTTAAAAGTACACGGGCAGGCCGGGCTCGGTGGCTCAGGCCTGTAATCCCAGCACTTTGGGAGGCCGAGGCAGGCGGATCACAAGGTCAGGAGATCGAGACCATCCTGGCTAACACGGTGAAACCCCGTCTCTACTAAAAAATACATAAAAAAAAAAAATTAGCCGGGCATGGTGGTGGGTGCCTGTAGTCCCAGCTACTCGGGAGGCTGAGGCAGGAGAATCGCGTGAACCCGGGGGGGCAGAGCTTGCAGTAAGCCAAGATCGCACTACTGCACTCCAGCCTGGGCGACAGCGCGAGACTCCGTCTCAAAAAAACAAAAACAAAAAAAGTACATGAGCAGAAGGGGCTGCAGTCAGACAAAATATTCTGTATTTTGTCCCAAAACTAAGCCAATTCAATCCTTAAATTCCCTCTGAAATGAGATGTAGTCCTTGACAGGACATGCACTTAGCTTAAATCTATTTACTACGATTTTCAGAACTGTCTCATCACCTATTGCCCAACATGTCTATTACTTATGAATCCTCAACATCTGTTCTCAAAAGGGGACCAGAGCTCAAGAACTTTCAATGGTGCACACCAGTTAGTGAAAAAGTCGAAACAAGAATTTGTTCCCCTCTAAAACTGTTTGGCAAAGAATAGCAGGTGGCTCACAAACCTAATTTTTTATTACTATCTCCTGAGCTTTTGAAAATTGTTGCTCAAGCCCGTTTAGTCGGACTCCCTAAAGAGGGCTGAGAATCACTAGTAAAATTTATTGCTTCCAAAATCCACCCTATACTTTGTTTCTGGTGCCATTTATAGCAGAATAAACCATTTGCTTTACTACATTCCTGATTCTAATTTCCACGTTTCTATTCATTTCCTACTATGGTATACTATACTAAGCCAAATGTCTCACTTTTCCAGTATTAAAGCCCCGAATTCCAGAATGCAGACATCCCAACCCCCCAACATACAACCCTTCCCTCCCCTTAGCAAGACAAGGTGGTATGCAGAAAGGATAGTTTTGCCATTTAATTGTTGTAATACTCTAGTATTCTAATAAACTATCTGTAAATTTGCAATGTGTGACCATGGCAGCAAAATTTAACAACGAAGTAGGCCCAATTGCCTTTTATAAGGCAATAAACTCAATGCATAAAGTACTTTACCTTCGGCTACCTCCCACCCCTTTCTCACATTTTACATCTTTTCAGGAGAAAATTCACACATCCAGTGCCACAGAGAAAAACCTAAAGCCTACCTCAACATTTTGAGTTCTTGGTTAAAGCATGAATGAGCCACAGAACTATTTTTTTTTCTTTTTTTTGAGACGGAGTCTTGCTCTGTCGCCCAGGCTGGAGTGCAGTGGCCTGATCTCAGCTCACTGCAAGCTCCGCCTCCCGGGTTCACGCCATTCTCCTGCCTCAGCCTCCCGAGTAGCTGGGACTACAGGCGCCCGCCACCTCGCCCGGCTAGTTTTTTGTAGTTTTAGTAGAGACGGGGTTTCACTGTGTTCACCAGGATGGTCTCGATCTCCTGACCTCGTGATCCACCCGTCTCAGCCTCCCAAAGTGCTGGGATTACAGGCTTGAGCCACCGCGCCCGGCCCACAGAACTATTTTTCATTTAAACAAGAGCAAATTGTAGACCTAAAGATTAGTTCTAAGCACTCAGTTTACAAAAGTGAGATGGATTTATTAAAAACACAGCAAAAGCCTACTGGTTTAAAAATTAAAACAATCCAATTACAGGGTAGCTATTGCCTTTTCTCATTGCAAGAATATTTTCTTCAAAATTATCAAGACAATTCTTATGATGTTCCTTTTGAAACACTACAAAAACAAATATTAAGGTAACTCAAAACTTGAATAATATTTTCTTTATTTACAAGTTAGAATCAACAAAGACAGTCCAGGGGACCAAATGGGGAGATGACTGAAACCCCCAGGGCCCCAAATGGAGCGGAAGGAAAAAGGGAAAACAGAGTAGAAAAAAAAAGTCAACGTAAAAAAAGAGCTCCCCCTTCTTCCCTCCCCGTGGAGGCTGAGGGGACCACGGCCCCACCCTTCCCCCCAGCCTTACCTAGCTTAAAATAAATTAGAACAAACAACCTCAAAACAGGGCCCTTAGAAGTGAATAGGGCAGCTATGGCCTCAGGTAACTCTACATCAGGGCTTTGCACATTCCCACCCTTGCCCTGCCCCATTTTGAATGGGGGCTCTGTGTCCAAGAGATCACTCCCCAATGGGGCTAGGAATTCAATGTTATTTTGTCCATGTCCCTCCTTCAGTAAATGTCCCTGCATCCCTCCCCCACTGCAGAGCCAGCTCTCCTAGAGGGGGGTGGGGGGGTTTGAGATGAAGAAGTGTCACAGCAAAGGGGGAAAGGGCAGGTGGGGCAGGGTGGTCTAGGGGTCCGGTCCTGCGGAGCCTTCCTGCCCCATCTGGCCTGACCCCTTAGCCTGAGTCTGAATCACTGGTGTCTGAAGAGGACGACGATGAAGAGGAGGAGCTGGAATCTGAGCTGGAGCTGGAAGCGCTAAGGCGTGACACTGCTACTTGCTGTGCAGAGGATGACTCTGTTTTCTCATTCACTGCAGAACAAATTTGAAAGTTAAAGACGTTCAAGTCTGAATCTTCAATTGTCAGTAAGAGTCAGGAAGGCAGGATGCAGTCAATCGGTAGTGGCCTGTAAGTATGTACTCACCTTTCTTGGGGGGCTTTTTAGTGGAATTGAGCTGTCCGCTGACATCTTGTAACCGCTTTTCTAATTCCCGCTTTTTCTCCAAAGCTAGTTCCTCCTTTGTCTTTCCCACAGGCTTCTTAATGGCTAATGAAAGAAATTTATCAGGATACATTAAGATTGCCCCCAGCATCTTACTATGGGTCCCTAGGTTCCCAAGTTCCTTTCCTGAACATGAGGAGTCAACCAACACATCCCATTATCCCGGGAGCTGACAATCCTGAAAGCAAACAGACCCCATTATCTTTCCTAATCTGTCCTCAGAACCACGAGATGAACCTCATTTCATACGTACTGTAGGGCTTCCGGGGTTTCTTACGCAGGCAGGAAAGGACATAGCGCTCAAGCTCTCTAAGTGTGGATGGCTTGAGTGTTTCAAAATCAATCTCAATCTCTTCTGGGTTTGAATCACGTAAAGAGGGCTCCCTGGCTTGGATTATATGCACAACTCGGCCCAGCTTCTCCCCAGGTAATTTGTTGATGTCCAGGCTCAGCTGCCGCTTCTCATCGTAACTCATGGGCCTGCTCTCTTCCTCCTCCTCTGAATCATAACCTGTAGGCAGGGCAGGTGGGGCTGTCTTTGTGGCCTTTTTGGGGAGCCTACGGGCAAAAAGAGTTGTCAGCCAAAGAATCTTCATTAACCTCTCCTAGTATGTTCCCACTGTTATAATTCAGTGATCCTATTTCCTACCCAGAGTGGAGCTTCTGCTTTTCCATTCAATGGCCAAGTCAGAGGTGGGGTACTGGGACACTGTATAGTGAAACAGTGTTTTATGGAACTCTTACCTGCCAAGCATTTTATTACATTTACTTTAGGCTTTCAAAACTTTATACAGGAATACCTCTTGGAAACAGAAAATTCTGAATTTGGTTCCAGACCATTGCAATAAGGTGAGTACCAAAATAAAATGAGTCACATTACTTGGTTGTTTGGCACTATGTTCTTGACTGTAAGTGGGCAATAGCATTAGGTCTTTAAAAAGACAATGTACGTACATACCTTAATGAAAAACTACTACTAAAAATGTGACACAAAAACATGTTGGAAAAACTGTTGACTCGCTCCATACAGAGTTGTCACAAATCTTCAATTAAAAAAAAGCTGTAATTTCTAAAAAATCTCCATGAGGTGAAGCACAATAAAACAAGGTACACCCATTTAGGTATACTGGTATGGGTCTTTCCACTCCCTAAAACACTACCGAACTACACCATGGGCCAGGTGCAGTGCCTCACATCTGTAATCCCAGCCCTTTGGGAGGCCAAGGCTGACAGATCACTTAAGGTCAGTTCAAGACCAGCCTGCCCAACGTGGCAAAACCCCGTCTCTACTAAAACTACAGAAATCAGCCGAACACTAAAACTACAAAAATTAGCTGGGCTTGGTGGCGCAAGCCTGTAATCCCAGCTATTCGGGAGGCTGAGGCAGAACCGCTTGATCCCAAGAAGCGGAGGCTGCCATGAGCCGAGATGATGCCACTGCACTCCAGCTTAGAGTCTAAAACAACCAACAAAAACACACCAAAAAACCAAAAACTGATACGCCACTAAAAACAAAAGTCTAGACTCATTGATTTAGAGTAACAGGCAAACTACATGGCCCAGGGAACAAATCTTATCTGCCACTTGTCTTTGCAAATAAACTTATTGAAACACAGCCATCTTCATTTGTTTCTAGCTTATGGCTTTCAGAGTTCATTGTCAGAGTAGCTGTGAAAGACCCTATGACTCCCAAAGCCAGGGGTCCCAACCCCCAGACCACTACCCAGTCTGTAGCCTATTACTGGCCCACACAAGAGGTGAACAGCAAGCATGTGGGCATCACTGCCTCCTGTCAGATCAGCAGAAGCATTAGATTCTTGTAAGAGTATGAACCTGTGAACTGCATGTGGTAGGCATCTAGGCTGCATGCTCCTTATGGGAATCTAATGGCCCAATGATGTGAGGTGTAACAGTTTCATACCAAAAACCATCCCCTCAAACCCCGAGTGGAAAAATCTGTCTTCCATGGAACTGGTCCCTGGTGCCAAAAAGGTTGGGGACCAATGCTCAAAGCCTATTGTATCTGTTAACTGGCCATTTAGAAAAATCTTTGCAAAGAGAGATGGCATCCCCTGGAGAGAGAGAAATAGCCCAACTAGTCTCTGCTTCCTACTCTAACTCACTTGGTGCCACTTCCTCCAGAAGGTCCAAAGCCAGAAGGGCCTAAAGCAGCACTGCCACCCCCACTGCCACTTGCTTTCTTGGACTTCTTGGGCTGAGGTGGGCGGGGTGCCCGAGGCCCCTTGTCATCTTCATCGGCCCCAGCTCGGCCTCGATGCTTCTCTGCCTTCCGTTTCTTCTTTTTCTCTTTTTTCTCTCTTTTCCTCTTGGGCTTAGATATTGGACCCTGGGACAGAGCAGCCAGTTGTTCGTGCACTGCCCGAAGCTACAGAAAAAAGAAGTGGAAAAAGTAAATAAAGATAAAAAGACAAGAAGAAAAAATCAGGACAAAAAGCATGAACCTCTTACCCAGTAAAAACTTTTAAGAGTGACAAAATACCTGTTCCTGTAGTTCTGCTAACCGATGAGCCCTTTCTTCCTCCGAGTCTGAGCTTTCACTCTCTTCTTCTTCCTCCTCGTCGTCCTCATCTTCCTCCTCCTCTTCCTCAGAGGAGCTCTCACTGCTACTTTCCTCACTGGAGGACTCTGAAGATGATTTGGCCAAGCCAGGGGGCATGGCAGTAGAGACTGGTAAAGGCCCTGGTTCCAGTGGTTCATCTGGCATCTTGGCATAACGGAACTCAAATACATCCTATAAAGAGGCACAAACTCAAAACTATGCTGATGAACAGTGGGTGCCCTGCATACCCAGCCACCAAGTGATACAGCTCCAATTTACAACTGTACAGAACAGCGAGACCCTCATGTTGAGGCTACGCAGCACAGATGACAAAATAACTCCCCACACCATTTATTTTTCCAACTCCAACCTTTCCGCTCACCTGAAGCTTTCGTGCCATTGCCACAACATCGTGATCTGGGGGATTGTACTTATAGCAGTTGGAGAACATAAGCCGTACATCAGCAGCAAACTCCTGTGCATCCCGGTAATCACGGTTCTCCATCTTCCGCTGCAGAAGGAGGCAGCATCAGAAGCTGCACAGGCAGGAAGACTCACCTTTCCCTGCCAACCCCAGACACCACAAGAAGAGCCCTCTCTTGAGAGCACAGTGGGGATGACCTTAAGGATCTGTGCCCTGGGGTTCAAGTTTGAAGTCAAAGGAATTTGGGTGGGTTGAAGAGATATTTATGTCTAGAAAAAGAAATCATTTCTAAGTGACAGAGAAGAGGTGGCCTATGACTGTCTTTCCACCCCATAACTTCCTTAACCCAACACTGCCACAACATTAGTACTTAATTATAAACAGTATTGTTCCCAAGACAAAGAAACCCCACCCTACTGTTTCAAACTCCAGAAAATATGAATTCTCAAACACCAGACCTTCTTTCTGTTCTACTATTTTATAAAAGTAAACTGCCAAGAACCAAAGACTGCTGTGTGCCCACATAAGGCTACTTAATGTTTTGCACCTAGGCTCCCATCACTGCCTGAGCATCCCATCTGCCCATGCAGTGGGTACCTTGACAGTGCTGAGGTCCATGGGGTGCTTAATGATGTCATGGTAGTCATGCAGGCCAAGTGCAGAAGCATCCACTGGTTTATAGAAAGGCCAAGCATAGGCAGCATGCTTCTTAGAGAGTAACTCCTTCAAAATGCCATTGCAATGTTTTAATTGTTCTGAAAGCTTTCCTTTCTTAGAGCTCTGGTGTTGTTGCTGAGAGTCAGGCAAGTCTTTGCGTGGGGGCTTGATGGGGCGACCACTCTCTCTACGCATAGGGGGAAGCCGTGCTGCTTTAGGCTCAAGACTCCCAGGAGGGCTAGCTGGAGAACCAGGAGCCAGGATGGCTGTAGGTGTAGGGGTGGTAGTATCTGCTTTCCGCTTTACACCTTTTTTCTGCAGAAAGAAAGATAAGGAATCTATTACTCCAAGCCCACCTTACTTAAGACCCTTGCCTCCCTGCTGCCCAGAGGAAATCCACAGATCATACCTTGGCAAGAGGCTGGGCTGGAGGAGCTGCAGTAACAGCAAGGAGCGGGGGTCCAGCAGAGTGCAGGGACTTGAGAAGTGGAGAGGAAATGACTGATGGGTGGGGAATGTTGAGGACAGTGGTAGGTATCTCAGGTGGGGGAGTATACAGGGCTGCGTGTGACACAGAAGAGACGGCAGGCACCTGATGGGCACTGGTAACACTGCCCTGGAGTGCTAGGAAAAAGGAAAAAAGCAAGTATAGTTTGATTCTCTTTCCCCTATCTTTAGGTGTCCATTTGCAAAACTCCTACTCTTCCTACCTGCCAACTTGGCCCCCTTCTTGTGGCTGTTCTTAGGGATGGTCACCACCAGTTCTTGTTCTTCTTGTGGCATTGATGCAACTTTCTGTAGGAAGATCTTTTCCAGAGTTTGTGCCATTAGGACAATATCATCAGTGGGCTATAAGAACACAGACAACAATGAAGAAAGTTAAAAAAAATGCCAACAGAAGATAGACATACACCATCTTTCTCAGAGGCATTCAGACTCTAGGCCATTACCATACCCCCCGCAAGTCACCTTGTCATCAAATCTTGAAGAAAATTTCCTACTCCAGGCCACTACTAATTTCCACTTTCTCTTAACTGTGTCTCCCAAAATACTGAAGAAGAAAAAACTACATGGTCCTTTAAAGTTCAGAAGGGATTAAGAGCTGAAAAGAAAAGAGATCCCTAGTCTACTCAGGTCTCTGGTGCTCTCTAAGAAATAGGGCCACCACCCCCCCAAGTATGAAGTGTTCTACTTAAATAACCTTTAACTGGAGCTCTGGAAGTCACATCACTGTGTTCAATAGTACCATCTAGAATCAGGTTTTGAAAACTGACTACTCTACCTGGGTAACACCCTTACTAGCAAAGCATTTAAGCTTTATGTAGACAAAGTGTCTAGCAATAATAGAAGTCACTGTTTATCTGCATCTGCTAAATGAACACACAGAAAAACTCACCTTGTTGTAAATGTAACAGTTGGTGAACATGGTATTAAAATCTTGCATACACTCTGAGGCAGCCCAATAATAATTGTTTTCAAGTCTCCTCTTAATAGTACCCATGTCCATAGGCTGTTTTATGATTTTGTGATAATCCTAAATAGAGAAATGTTAGGTCAGAACCATAGGAAAATAAATGCTTACAGACACTACGGATCCCCGACTCTCTCTCTCACACACACACACCCCCCCCCTAAGCATCAAAGGAATATTTACTTAAACTGCGGCCCCAGTTAAACTGTGGGACAAAATAAATAAATATTCTTGACACCCACAGGGAGGCCCCTGCTGCCTTTCTCTAACCACCCACCTCCCACCCACTCTGGAAACTTCCCATCCTGTGACATTACCTCTGGGGCTGGCTATCCATGGGCTGCATGAGGGAAAGGAAGAAGCTAAGAATTTTGGCCACCGTGGTCCTCTCCCCAACCCGAGGTGGGAATCTGTAAAATGGAGCCAGGGCACAAAAGTTAAGGAAGGACACATGGAGGGCACAAGGAAAGATGCCAAGATAGTTACAGCAAGCGGTCGGATCAATCACAAAGGACCAAGAATCCAGAAATCTGGTGGCTAACTGCCCTACAGGGGAGAAATGGGAACTCCCTAGGGGCCGCAGCATCTACACTAGGCAGACCACCCCCATTCACACGCAGTCTTGCTCATCCCATACCTCCCAGGCTCCAATGTCTCTACTCACCGGTAGACCCAGTTTGACAGCATCCACAGGCTGCCGGAATGGCCATGCAAACTGATGTTTCCACAGAGCCTTCATCACTACCTTGTGTAGGTATTGCAGCTGGTTGGTAACTCGTCCTGGCTTTTTGGGATTGGACACCTCTGGGGGTGGTGGGTTGGCAGGGGTCAGTTGCAAAGCAGGCACCGAAGCCATTGTGGGGCTCTCAAATCCCTCATACAAGAGGGAGGGTTTTCGAATCCTTTTCCCTGGTGCCGCTGCTTCTGGGCCCAGCCCCAGCAACCCTGCATTCCCTTCCCCAGGGAGCCTGTAAAGATGGGAAACAAAATTAGGGCAATATCGTGCAAATCAGAAAAAAGTGCATTTGCACAAAGGTCTAATAAATCCAGGTGTTGGCCCTAGTGAGGTGGTTGCACTTATGCCAAGTGATTTAAGCAGAAACAATATCCAAACAATCTGTGGAGCTTTTATTGCTGGCCCTGCCGTTCTTTTATTAGTATTTTTAGTATACTATCTAGATCCCACCTTCTGAACTCTAATGACTTCTTTTTCGTATTTTAAACTCTAAAATTGTTTCTGATAGGGCACAATATCTCAGAACTACAGCCCTATGGGGATGGGGCTTAAGCAAGATGGGAGGAGCTAAGAAACTCAAACCCCAAGCTTCCTCCTCACTGGGGGGTTTGGTGGTTGCCATGGTGGTTGAGCGCTGGTGAAAAGAGGAAGAGAACAAATTATGGACATAGAAAATTCCATAAAATGCTGGTAAGACATCGAATAATCCACCTAGATAGAAGAGAGAGCACCATCTTCCACAAGGTCTGGGTAGTTAACGCCACAACAGAACATGGACTAAAAACTCAAATGAAAAACCATACCAACTTAAAAAACACCCAGACAAGGAAGCATTTGTCAGACTTCACAGCCCGAAACTGCCAAGCCCCCAAAATTATTAGCACCAAATGAAAGTCTCCTCACTCCAAGAAAGTCAAAAACCCGTACAAAACAGTCAAGGTCACCAAGTGATAGCCCCCTTCCACCCACCCACTACACAACACGATTCCACTACCAGTTCCCCACTATAGCACCAACTCCAGACACCAAACGCCAACAGTGGTTCATCTACAGTCCCTCAGGTGCTCCTCCGATGAGTTTCCTACCACCTAAGATTTAAGACATTATATGGGAATCTCATTGTTTACAACGCAGTGCTGAACGAGGAACCTTAGATCTACCCTCCTGCTCCGAACGAAACCCCTAACATTAGGAAAAAACAATGCCTCCACCAACAAACACCACATACAACCCACTCGCCCAAAGAAAACAAAAGATTTAATGACATATCCTGGGCATTAGGAACCCGCAGACTTGGAGAGTGATCCCTTTACCCTTCTCCGGGAATCCCCGTTGCCAGTCCCTTAAGCTATCACCATGGCAACCCTACAGAGCGCTAGAGGTGGCCGTGAATCCCCCCTAAAAAACTATGACAAACCGCCGCTAGACACCAGACCCCATCAAACGCCAGAGCTGCTGTCCACCCTCACTACACTCCACCGCCAAACTAGCTCTGCCTGACTCGGTGAAGACTGGGCCACGGCGGCATCAAGTGTATAAAATGACAACCTGTATTCCCCTCCATGCGCAGTAGCCGGGCCGCCACCACCGTTCCAAAACCGTCGCTCAATGCCCTCCGCGCGGCCGAGTCAACAGCCGCGCCGCCAAACAGCAGCGCGCCGGGGCCGCTCCGTACTCCCCCCGAGCACGGCGCCCCACACCCCTGTGCCGCCGCCCGCAACATCCCCTTCCCACACGCGGCTCCCGGGAACGTACTTGTTGTGAGGGGTCACGTTTTGCAGCATCTTGACCGCAGGGAACCGGCGCTGCCCTCAGCCGCGGGAAGTCCGGGTGGCCTCGGTTCCCCTCACCGCCCGGTCCAGCATAACCCGGTAAGTACGGGGGAGGCCGTTCCTCCTGGGCCTCCAGGCAACAAACCCCCTGCCGGACCGGCACGAAAGCAGTCTCTTTGGGGCCTCTCGGAGAGCTCCAGGCAGCTTGGCGCGCTCTGCAGACGGCGGACAGCAAGAAAATGGCGGCGGCCTCCGCTGAGGCGGGCGACTAAGGAGGGACTGACTCTTCAAAGGACGGTCCCCGATCTCAGACACCGTCGTCGATATAGCCCGCTGTTGCTCTGCAGGGATCCCCTCTTCTTGTCGGGAGCCTACGGGGCGGACGAGGTCCCGTTTCGTTCTCGGATGGAGGCGGATGAACACGAAAAGTGGTTTAGGGAGCCGCCGCCTCCATCTTTGAAATCCTCTTGAGGGCGGAGTAGAAGGGGAGGACAGACTCCGAGGATTGGGCGGGGCCCGAAAAAGGGGAGCTTCAGGGGCTTCTATGGGGTCTGTACTGTCCGCTGGGACCAGTCATAGGCCGGGACGAAGGCCATTTCCAAGCGGATGGAGGTGGATTGTAATGGCGGCCCCGGACGACTCGAAGGCTCTGTATCAGTAGGCAGAATCCTCCAGCTCGTTCTAGAGGCTGCTCCACTCCAGCGCGAAATGGCGCCGCCGAGCCCCGCGCCAGCCCTTTATATATAGGCGGGGAGGAGGAGCTTCGCCGCTCATGCGCGCCACCCCGCTCGAGATTTCCCCCACCCCCTCCGCGCGCGCGCGCTCGCTCACGCGGGTGAAGAAGCTGAGTCGAAGGGGAAGGAACACCTCTCCGCGGGAGCTTTTCCTATTGGCCAGCAGCAACGATGACGTCATAAACTTCATTTCCAAGGTGTCAGTCACCAGGCAGAAGAGTGCCGCAGAGACCCACAGGGAAGTGGCAACCCGCCACATCTCCAAGCCAATTGGCTGAGCTGTGGTCCGCCGAATCCAGGCAAAGAGGATGGTTGGAAGGGGTGCGGAAGCCATCGCCCCACAGCCTCCAGCACCCTCTCCCCGCCTCCCCTTCCAACAAAGTCTTCCCAGGCTTCCATGCACAGCACAACTGGAGACTGCCAAGCTCGGGCAGGTCGTGCCATTCGTAGCTCCTCCATTGGCCAGACCGGCAGGGAAACGGGAGGGGTCGCGTGGGCGTAGCCTGCCTGGGCCCTCCAGGGGTGTGGCCGCAAGACGCCCGGCGGGTGGTGGTTCTCGGCGGCAAGGCAGCTGCAGCGAAGAATCTGAAACGAAGAAGACGACGCCATCTTAGAAGCCGCGGCCTGTTCCTCTATGGCTAACAGCTACGGGCTTCAGAACGGCGACGAGGGGATCTAACGTTTCCATGCCCCACAATGTAAAACACAGGCTTGCTAAAGTCTTAAAATACTCCACTCCCTCCCCCAGACCAAATATGGAAAGACAAGAGCAAAACACTCATTATTTACTGTTTAGTCCCAAAGACTACAAAAGCTAGAATACGTCTCCCAAATTTGCACGTCCAAGCGCCTTTCTAATCCCTCCCCCTCACACCTACGGTTACCAATACATTTCTGCTCGTTCGAAAAAACCTCGGCAACCCTGAAGTGGGATTAAAATCTCCAAACGCATCCAATGTAACCCACCTCACCTCTTCCTCAAACTCCATTCCGGCGTCTGGCTCAGAGCAGAAAAAACAAGTCCTGTGAGGGGTGACTTAGGGAAAAACCCTCCCCCTCCAGGCGGGCTCGGACCTTTCCCCACACGCCACACCACCCCTAAGGATATCCGCCTCTTAGGGGCCCTCCGCCACGGGGGCGAAAGAACCCCCCCGCCCCCCCACCAGGGTCCGGAGTCCTCCCCACGGAGCGGCTGGTCCATCGGTCAGCGCCAGGGAGGAGGGCGAGCGGAGGAGGCGGCGGCTGCGGCTCAGACTAGCCCTCCCCCTCCTCCCCTCCTCCCCTCCCCCCGGCCGTCCGCCTCCGAGGAGGGGCAGGAGCCATTTTGGGAGCTCAGTTTCGCCCCCTCCCCCCAACTTACTCAAGTCTTCCTCATAACTTGGTTATCTAAATAAGGATACAGACTCTATGAATAAACCAGAGCCCAAAGTCTGGATCTCCAGAGCATCTCTGGGGCCGTCCCCGCCCCCTTACAAGAGAGTGAAAGGATTTCCCCCACCCGAGAAAACCTGGGCTTTGGCGGGGCGTCCCCTCCCCCGTTTCCCCTTTCTTCGCTACCAGGGAGAAAGCAAACTTGTGTACCTATCAGGGAAAAGTAATCAGCGTAGGTGAACAAATACACGGTAAGATTCCCCCTCCCCCGGGAAGGACTCGTGAGGGCCTAGGTCCTTTAGCTGCAACCATGCCACCCTCCCTCCTCTGCAGTAGCCCTTCAGCTCCAACCTCGGTTACTGCGTCTAAAATGGCCGCCAGTCTCCTGTCTTCTTACCCCCTAGTAGGGCAAACCCGGGGAGGGCGGGGGAAAATGAGCATCGGGAGAGCAGAGTCCCCTTCCCCCAGCCAGGGATCAGGCCTTGGCCCCCAAAAGTACAAGCGGCCCCGTCCGGGTGGCTGCAGCAGAGAGGGCAATGACACAGCAACTTTGCAGAGGCCTCCTCCCCTCCCCCTAGTGGCCCAACCGCCCAAATCCGCTTTTCTCCACCCGGGCTCTGCAGGCCAGGACAGAGGCCCATCAGGGGGCCGGCCATGGAAGAAGAACTTAGCAGGCTGAGAAAATACCAGGCCTTAGAAAGGAAAAGGGCAGCCAGACATTGCTCTCGTTTATTCCCTGCATTCCGGAAAATCACTGCCTCCCGATCCTCTATCCTCCCTTCCCCCACATGAGTCACCAGGGAGGCTACTGCTACTCAGTAATTTGGGAAAGTAACTCTTTTCCTCCTTTCCGTTCCCTCCCCCGCAGTACACAAGGAGAGAACTGTTCAGGACTGGGGGAGGGGATGAGGGAGGCGAGGGAAGAGGCCACCCTGGAGAAACCCGAAACCTTGGGAGCTGTGAAATCATTCCAGGTCCCGAGCCTCCCTCGCATCTCAGACCACGCTTTCTAGACCCCCTACTGCCAGCACCCACCTTGGGCCTGGTTTCTGTTCCTAAGCAGACCTCAAGCTTTCAGCTTGTGAGACCCCCAGCCTGGAGTAGACACGTGCTCAGTAAAGATCCTACAGGGGCAAAAGGCCCCACAGGCCGTGTCCACGTGAATGCACACAAATTCGGTAAGCGACTCGAAGCGTAACCTCCAGCCTGCAGTGTGACCACTGGAGCTCCCCTACCGCGAACACAAAGGGCGCACAGCAATGCTCCCTCCAGAGGCTCTGGGGAGAAAAGAAGTTGGCGCCTGGGAACAACCTCAGTTCACAGCCTGGGTGGCCAACTCCTAAAGCATTCACATCCACGGGTAGGGGCCACAGCCACCACTCCTCAGCCCACCGCCAGGTCACCCCTCCCTCGGCCTCCGATGGATCCCTTCTCACCTGGCTCCCGGCTGCTGTACCCCCAGGGGACGAATGGAATGGGGGGGCCACACCGCCCCCTAACCCTTTTGCCCTCCAATTGGTATGGAGGCATGAGGCTGGCCATTCCCATCCCCCCCCCAGTGGCCCTCTCCCGCTCGCCCCCCTCTACGCTCCCATTGGCTGTAAAAGGTTTGAAAGACAAATCTTCCCACTCTCAGCATTCTTTTCTGAACCCCAAGAATCCCCCTCCCGGACTCCCCACCATTGGCTAAGCACTTGACTGACAACATCTCCGCCCCACAAGGGCCCCTTCTCACCTGGATCCTAAAGCCTTCCAGGGGGCCTCCAAAGTTGCCCTCGGCTTGGTACGGGGTATGTAATCCGGGGTGTCAACCCCCCCCGGAAAACGAAGCCGTGTTGGGGGAGGGGGCGTAGCCCCCAGCCCCTCCCTTCCCGAACGGGCTGGGGGGTGGGGAGAGCACCCGGGCCGCGCGGCCACGTCAGCAGCGCCCAGATTGGCTGACGGGGGTCACGTGCCCGCTGCCCCCCCCAAGCCACGAGGGCCAGTTTTCCGAACGTTCCTGGGGGTCGCGCAAGGGGCCAAGGGGGCCGCATGGCCCAGGCCTATGTCCTGAAACCCAGAGCGCTATAATGCTGCTGCTTGTCCATATCCCCAGCTTCCTATCCCGCAGTCCTCGACTCTGTCCCCCCCACTCGCCTCTCCATACGGGTTCAGCATGGCTGCCGCAGACCAGGAACACGCACAGCGCAGGCGCAAGGGTGCGCCCTGACTGGGGGAGGGGAAAGGAGTGCCAGAGGCGGCGGGGAGAGCCGTAGTGCGCAGGCGTCCGGGCCGGAATCGCAGCTCCGGCGGCGGGGCTCGGAGCGCGCGAATTTGGTTGGGCGGGGGAGCCGGCGCCCTGGCGCCGACCGCCTGCCTCAGCGCCCCCTCCACCACTACCCGCGGCCTAGCTGGGTAGCCGCGGGCGACCAGGCTTGTTTCCTTCTAGGTGGGTGTAAAGTGCACCTTGGCTGGTCTTGGCCTGAAACCAGCGGAAGCGCGCGCCAGGAAACTTGTCAGCGGAGGAGAATGGGGCCTGGACCTGGAGATTTGAGGGTCTGCAGAGAGGGGCCCCTTTCCTGGTGTCGTGTGGTGCGACCACTGGACAGGGCGTTTCTCGCCCTCGTCGCGCCTGCCGCGCGGAGAGATGAGGTGCGGACCGCAGACATGGACTTCGTATTCGGCTTTGGTCTTAGGCAGCCTTACAATTCCTCCGTGCCATGAACCTACGCTAGACTTTTCATTAGTGAGACCTGTGAGTCCCTGGACCGCTCTATCTTGTACGATATTTACCAGCTGATCACTTTTCTTTCTCTATCTCGAAGTGGACCGTTTAAACCTCTTATACTCTTAAAGTTACGACCTCTACTCTCTCAATCTTGAGTGAATCCCCCCAAAATTTTGGAATTGGTAACATAAAATGTTATGGTGTTTCAGTTGCCAGCTAAAAAGTAAGCCTTTATTTTGTCCTTAGCCGATAACCTCTCCCTTGATTACCCAGAGTAAGGTCTAGATTTTCACGCTGCAGACCCTAATCTCTCCTCACCGACAGATGGCACCTCACAGAACAGAAAGGCCAACTTGCAGAACTGGCTTCCCATTTCCCACCTGCAAACTGGGTCAAGTGTGTATTCCTTTACCATTTCACTAGAGGTCCTCCCTTGGGTTTAAGGAAATCCTTTACTATTGACCTGGTCAACCTTCTCTATTACCCGGAGGCTCTCTTCCTTTCTCCGCCCTTTGACCTTTTTAACTTTTCTCTTGGTTTCCCTGCTGACAAAAAGAGAACAACCCTCTCAATCACCTGCCCTCTTAGAGACTCATTTCTCTCAGCTCCCTTGCACAGCCAAGACCTGAAATTGAAATTATCCTTACTATCTCAATTCTTTGTCACCCTCTCTCTCCCCATCCCCACTCCTCAAGCCACCTCTGTCAGGCTGCTATCACCAAAACTTTTCTGGCAGATGTCACCAAGAACCTCCTAAGTGGCAAAGTCAGGAGGCACTTTACAGTTCTCACCTTATTTGACCTCTGAGGCATTAGACATTTGATCATGTTTCCTTCCTGACATTCTCTGTACCCTTGACTTCTATGACCACTCTCACTTGTTTCTTTTTCTATTTGTCTAACTGTTCCTCTCCAGTCTCAGTGGGTTTTTCTTCCTTAGCCCCTTTTTATGTGTTGATGTTTGCCGTGATTCTTGTTTGCTTCTAATTCTGTTCAACTTCTCTAAGTAATCTGACTCCATGGCTCAAAGCCTCTCAAGTCTGAATCTTTAGTTCACACAGCTCTTTAAGCTAAACTTCCTACTAAATATTCCCACTTGGATAACTCTCAGACACCAATATGTTCAAAATTGATGCAATCTCTATACACTCTAGACCTGCTCTTTCTCTTCTGTTATCTCGAGTAATGGCGGCTATTTAACCCCAAAGCCTGTAATCTGGGAGCCTGTTGTTGATTTCCTTTTCTCATACCCTTACAGACTCATCATTTTGCCTCTTAACTATGCATCAACTCACCCTTCTATCCTAGTTCTATCACCTGAGCTGTACCAACAGTGTCCTAAATTATCTCCTAGACACATGGCTATTTGGATTTAAATTAATACAATTTTAAATTTAGTGTCTCAATATACTAGCCATATTTTAAGTTCTCAATTGCCACATGTGAGTAGTGGCTGTCATATGGGAAAGCACAGATTATTGAACATTTGTGTCATTGCAAGTAGTTTTTTTTTTTTCCTGATACGGAGTCGGAGTCTTGCTCTGTTGCCCAGGATGGAGTGCAGTGGCGCGGTCTTGGCTTACTACAACCTCTGCCTCCCGGGTTCAAGCAATTCTGCCTCAACCTCCCAAGTAGCTGGGATTACAGGCGCCCGCCAGCACACCCAGCTAATGTCTGTATTTTTAGTAGAGACGGGGTTTCACCATGTTGGCCGGGCCAGTCTCGAATTCCTGACCTCGTGATCCACCCACCTCGGCCTCCCAAAGTGCTGGGATTACAGGTGTGAGCCACTGCGCCCAGCCTCATTGCAAGAAGTTCTATTGGACAGTGCTGCTTTAGACTTTCCTCTCTGCCTCGGCCACAATACTGCCAGGAGAAAGCTTTCCAAAATATAGCCCTGGCCATAGCTCTCTTTTAAACTCTATGTTAATTCCTTATTGGCTATGTGATGAAGTCCAAATTCCTGTGTTTGCCAGAACAGTCTGCCTAGCTTTCCAGCCTCATGTCTAACCACTTCCTCTTGGGCCCTATATTCCAGCTGTATTGAACTGTTTCCCAGACGCATCATTTTGTTTCATGCCTCTGTGTTTTACACATATGCACTTTTTTTATGGAGTAGACTTTTCCCCAATCTATGTAAGCCTAAATAACATCTCTGAAAACATCTCTGTTATCGTTGAAGTTCAGCTGACTGCTCATTCTTTGGTGTCCCTTACCCTTAGGATTTTACTTTCCACAGTGAATGGCATTTATGTGATTACATGTTTCTCTCCAGTACTAGGCCTTGATTTTGAGAGCAGGGCCATGATATATTTTTCTTGCTTTGCTTTTTTTTTTTTTTTTTTTAAATATCCTCAGGTCCTAGCACAGTATCTGGCCAGTATTAGCTTCTCACAAGTTGAGCAAATATTGAGGTGAATTGATGTGTAAGTAAGTATGTGACTTAGGTAAGATTGAAATGTGTATATTTTATGGGGTGCCATGTATAGGGGAAGAATCATAGACAAAATTATTGCCTTCAGACATATCTGAGACATTAGAATTATGTGAGGAAAGACAGAAGTAGAACAGCACAGGTTATTGTCACAGAGAGTAGTCTAGTCCAATCTGGCCAGAACATAAGCTACAAGAAGTAGAGCAGGAGAAGAGAAAATGGGAGGTAAATGTATATTGGAGAACATATTATGGAAGGTTTCCGGTGCTGTTAAGTTTGGAACCAGTGGGGAACCACTGAAATTTTTTGAGTAATGACTTGATCAGAGTTATGTTGTTAGATAGGAACTCTGTCTTCCAGTGGCTGGCACTGTCTATGTTAATAAACATCAAATTAAAATGTTAGGAGGTCGGAAAGAGATGTGATTGGTGATACAAAACATTTATTGAGTAGTTAAAATGTGTTGGGTACTGTGATGAGTACTTTACATGTATTAACTCTTTTAATCCTTATAACCCTGTAAAGTCAATACTAATATTATCACCCTCAGTTTTCAAATGAAACAACAGAAGCAAAGGACGGGTTAGTCTGTTTTCTGATGCTATCACAGAATACTCACAGACTGGGTAATTTATAAACAGTAGTTTATTTGGCTCAGTTCCAGATGCTTGGAAGTCCAAGAGCATGACATTGGCACCTGGTGAGAGCCTTGTGCTGCATCATCCCACGGCAGAAGGGCAAACAAGCACATGAGATGGAGAGAGAATAGGGGCCAGAACATACCCTTTGTTTGTTTGTTATTTTACTTTTTATTTTATTTTTTTTGAGACGGAGTCTCGCTCTGTTGCCCAGGCTGCAGTGCAGTGTGCAGTGGCACAATCTCGGCTCACTGCAAGCTCCGCCTCCCGAGTTCACACCATTCTCCTGCCTCAGCCTCCGGAGTAGCTGGGACTATGGGCGCCCACCACGCCCAGCTAATTTTTTGTATTTTTAGTAGGGACAGGGTTTCACCGTGTTAGCCAGGATGATCTAGATCTCCTGACCTTGTGATCCACCTGCCTCGGCCTCCCAAAGTGCTGGGATTACAGGCATGAGCCACCATGCCCTGCCTCAGAACGCACCCTTTTAAATGGGAACCCGTACTACCTACATTAGTAGCATTAATCCATGAGAGCAGAGCCCTCATGACCTAATTAGCTCTTAAAGGTCCCAGTTAAAACTGTCAAAATGGCAGTTAATTTCAACAAGAGTTTTGGAGGGGAGATTCAAACCATAGCAGATAGTATTTACCTAAGGTCACACTTTTAGTAAGTAGCAGAACTGGGATTTGAACCCAGCTGACTCTGGGTGGTATATTATTCTGTTTACTAGGCACAACAGGGAATTTAAGATCCAAGATTGAAGTTAGATAAAAAAAGATTAGGAAGAGTAGATTTGAGAGTCACCTTTGAGATGATATTTGAATCAACCGTGAAGGTAGCCGAGGTTTATAAAGGAGCGGGTATAAAAACAATTTAGGATAAAGGATTGAGCTTTGGGTTACATCTTCATATAGGGAGCAAGAATAGGAAGTGGAACCAGTGGAAAATCTCAAACAAGAAGCAGCAGAGCAATATAATGTGAGGAAGCTAGAACAGGAGATGGTTCCAGGAAGGATTTCATGTTTATTGAATGACTGATTAAATCAGGACTCCTTAAGCTTTTTATGTGCCATTAGCTTTTTTGGCAGTTTGGTGAAGCCTTTGGATCTTGTCTGATGATATTTGTAAATGCATAAAATAAAATATAAACTATAGTTATCAAAATACAGTGGTCCCCCCTTAACTGCAGTTTCACTTTCTGTGATTTCAGTTACCCAAAGTCAACCTTGTCTGAAAATAAGTACAATAAGATACTTTGTGTATGAGACAGAAAGACCATATTCACATAATTTTTATTACAGTAGAATTGTCCTATTGTTAATCTCTTCCTGTGCCTAATTTATAAATTAAACTTTATCATAGGTATATCTATGGATAGGAGAAACTGTGTAATTACAT